CATGATGAAGTGGGCTATGTGAGCTTCACATTTGTAAAAAAGAAAGAAGATTTTTTTGGTTCGAGAATAAAATTTTGGCCATAATCCGAAAGGGACCCAGATAATTCCTCAACCAGGTAGATAATCTTTAATTTCAGACAGAGCTTAGGAAAAAAATTACTAGTTGCGGGGGTCAAATTTTGGGTTAAAAATAGCATTTTTTGGCATTTTTTGGTAATTTTTGATGTGGTAACCATGGTTTTCACACAAGTGACATACATAGAAAAAAGAGGTTTATACACTTCTCAGTGCTTTATATGTATTGTAAATGTAATGCAGTTTACAAATATATATACATGTATACATGTGTTGTGTAGGGTAAATCCGCTGTGTTTACATTTCCTCGACATGTGCCTTGTTTATCAGAGTCGGGCCATTTCTACTGTATTCTGCTACCTTATACACATAGAACTTGATTTTTTCTGAAAAAATCCCTTTTTATGCTTGATTCAGCTTCACTTTCATTCATTAATACTTAAAACTACTCAAAAACGCCAAAAAACCCGTTACATAGATTGGTCTATATATAGGTCATTAGCCTGTTACCTGTGGATGTATAAAGAGAGGTAACTCGCGCTTTCACAGGCACTTGTGAAATTCTGCAATTCATCACATATGTGTCAATTATGTTATTGGTAAAGTTGATACCAAACATCAAATAGTTCACAGGCTATCTCCTGATGCATTCATACTAGATTTCAGCCTGTTTCACTCAGTTCAGCACCCGGTAGCCATGGTTACTAATACATAAAGTTGCATTTATTGAAAATGGGTAAAATATTTGTTTTCATTCTAATTACACTATTTTAGATGTTTTTTCCACTTGATTCAGCATACAGATTAAATAAGCAAAGTCAGTAATGTCAATAAATTTTATTTCCATAATTACAGCTGAAGAAAATCTATTTTTCTAGCGAAATATGTTAAATGAACAATTTCTGAGGGTTACTGTCAATTCTAGGCGAGAAAAGTAAATAACGGTTGCTATGGTGGCACTTGTCTGATTTTTCAGAATATCTGACATTTCTGTGCTGTTCATCGGTTACGGGAAGTGTGTCTGTTGCTAGTTTGTTGTTGAGATGGCCATGGGTTTCCTAGTGTTCAATTTTTTGATATCAGTGATCCTCGTTGATGTCATAGATGCCCATTGATGACGTCATATTTATGATGACATCACAGTTCCTATGACGTCCTCAAACAAGACAGTAACATCATAGTATCACTGTACTGTTTGTTTTTCACATGCACATGATCTCAAAGCATCATATTTCACCCAAAAAGAAATTTTATTCATAAAAACTACAAACCTATTCAAGTTTTCATTTTTCAGATTACCTCCCTTTGTTGGTAGTTTGATAGCAGAATTGGTAAATACACCTGTCAGGAGAATTCATATTACTCGGTTACTATTAAAGTGAGAAAGGAAACGGATACATCGTTGTGTTCGTTGTCTCATTTTCCAGACATTTAAAAGGTTTTAATTAAATTTTGGGGAAAAGAAAATGATGTATAAGGTAGCAGTATACAGTAGAGGGTTGTGGCCATGGGTGATATTTTTGTTAAATGGCTAACCCCTGTATAATGATATGTAAAAAAAAATATAAAAATAAAACTGTACTAAAATTGGTATAAGCATGATGAAGTGGGGTATGTGAGCTTCACATTTGTAAAAAAGAAAGAAGATTTCTTTGGTTCGAGAATAAAATTTTGGCCATAATACGAAAGGGTGCGTACACATGAAAAGCTAGCTTTACAGGAGGTAAAA